TCATGCACATCCGATTTGATCAAGGGTAGCGAGAGCAGCAATGGTTGCCTGCCTCAGTCTTTGTTTCTCTCCTAATGATTTTTTTGCCATGGGGCAGTTGTAGCTTGGGAAAAGGGAATAATTTCCCAGCATTAGAAATCATGATCTTTTCACTGACAAAGAAACTCATTTTCTTGCCAGAAAATGTTCACCCCTGCGCTGCCTCCAGACATCCTTGTGAATTTCTATATTAACTTGAACAAGCTGTGCCTCACTGTCTACCAGCTCCACGTGATGCAGCCCAGCACAACCAAGGTGATGCTTGCTATCTTGTGAGCCTTGTTTAGTTTCCTCTTTTTGCGTTCCACTGTGAGGAGGAGATCATACTGCTACCTGGTGCAATGTTATGTTCATAAGATAGTGCAGAAGTTAGTTCAGCTGGTGCTAAATGTCTGTGTTTAGGTCTGCTGCACACAGAACACTGGCTCTAAATCTAGTTTGGGGCATGGCTGCTGAGCCCAGAAGAACATACCAGTGATCTGGAGTAAGCCATTTTTTACCAAATACTTAAAATATAGATTGATAATTTTGTGTAATTTTGGGAGGGCATAGTTATATTAATCCAGTTTACATTAGAGTAGCATCTTGGGTTTCCTAATGGAGTTTTGATGGATACTTTTCTGCTTTACCTGTTATGTAGGTCAACTTGATGTCCTGTAAAAACAGCGTGTCCTGGTTTGAAAGACAGGTGTCTGCTAAGGAAGGCAGGAGCCTCTCTTGAAATGGAAAATATAAACCCCTTCTGTCTTGGTTTGAAAGACAGATATTTGCTAAGAAAAGGCAAGAGCCCCTTCCCTGAGAGGGAGAATGCAACCCCCTCCCTTCCAATTATTATAATTTTGGAATCAGAGGCTTTCAGGCAAAAGATATTGGAGGTAGGAATAACAGTTCTTTACTAATATATCTAACAAGGCAAACAAAAGAAACAACAGCTATAAAAATTGTCAACAAAACAGAACAGTATAGCTCAGTTCCAGTCCCTTTTGGCCACAGGCCATCTCCCTGCGCTCAGTTACCGGTGCTGGGGGCAGGGCAGGTCCCGCGCAGTTGAAGAGGGCTGGGTGATGGCGGCAGCGGCCCAGGGGTGAGAGGGATGGGGGAGTGACTCCCCCCTCACGGTGTTGGTCGTGGTGCTTGACGGAGTGTCCAGAGATAATAGGATGAAGTGGGAAAGCAGCAGAGCAATGTCTGATGACAGGGAACGTGACTCCTGGTGCTGGGATGGTGGGGAGGGTGGTAGGTAGCAGCATCAGCCATCTTCCTCCGACTCCACAAGCGAGCAAGAGACCGAGCCAGACAGCTGCCCCCCCTCTCCTTTTGCGGTGTTCCCTCTCTCCACTCCCCTGCAAGAGAAACTGTTGCCCTAGCTACCTGAGTTAGGGTCTAGCCCCAAATCCTTAGCATAACAATGGGAAAAATTCCACAGAAAGAAAAGAAAACTTCAACCCTCCAAATGATTATAATTTTGAAATTAAGAGGGCTCTCAGGCAAAGATATAGGAATAGGAATAGCAGTCCTTTACTAGGAAAATTAAAATAGAAATACAGTATTACAGAGAACAAACCCAAAAACACTGACACAGTCAGAATATAACCTGACAGGTCAGCCAAGGTGTTGGTAGCAGTCCAATTAAATGGTGGCTGCAGTCCTCCTGGATGACAGATGTGGTTCACTTGAAGCAGTGGTCCTGTACCAAGGGTGCAGTTTTCCTCCAAAGGTTCAGTGATGAAATGGAAAAGTCTGTTTTTTCTGTGGAATCCAGTGGAAAAAGGCTGCTCTGATGTTACAAATCTCAGATTTTATCTAGGTAGGAAAGGCTTGGCTCCTCCCCCTGGCTGGAGCATCTCCTAATGGGATGATGAAATTTTATCAGTCATTCAGTGGGACCCAATGGGATGATGTAATTTTATTAGTCATGTAGTGGGACTCAATGGCCCATTAACAGACGATATCTTCCTGGAGGAAGGATGGGTTGTGGAAAAGAGAAAGAACACTGCCCCACCTGTTTTTTAACAGATGGCCCATTAGCAGAGGGTATCCCCCACAGAGATAAGGAACACTGCCCCACCTGGTTTCAGCAGATGGTGATAGAATACACACCCCTGGTCACATCCTGTATTGCAACTCAAGACACAGCGTTAAACTCTTAAGCTTTATGAAATGCATTCCTTCCATAAGGAAGATTTTCCTAAAAATCTGTATTTTGTTTTTCTTCTGGATCTGATAATTTCTGTAGTGATAAAATTTGTAGCTACATTGAGCTCAGCCAATGTGTAGAATTTCTTTCATGAAGGAGCAGGAAGAGTTCTAACAGAAGAGATTCCATATTGATGGAGTGTCCAGGCAAATAGAGCATGGGTGTTTCTTGATGTCAGGCTACTGAAAGCATAAACCTTAAACGTCTTTCTTCTAAGTGGTTTGTTTACCACATCAAAATCCTAATGACCTTTTCCTTCTCTAGAACTTCAAGCCTGCTGGAGGGTCTGTTTTGCACAACGCTGGGGCCATGTTGTAAGTATAGTCACTACAAGGGTAGTGTACCTGGATAACAGGTGTTGGTATACCTTGAGGGTGAAATCCAAATAGCTGTGTAGTTTTCATTGTAGCATCTCTGAAGTGGAGAAGCTGGATTGAGTCACTTGCTGTGCCTGTGAATGCTCGGTTGTGTCTCTTACCTAGACAGTGTCACGAGTTTATGTAGAGATGAGAGTTTACAATGAAAATGAGTGTTTGGTCATTGGCACTGCCATCTGCATTCCCTCTGTGCGTGTCTGGAATGAAGTTCCTACCTTCACCTTTTAGCTTAACTATAAATCTGGTCAGAGATGGACTTGAGTGTTTGCATTCTCTAACTTTGCCAGATGCTGATTTAAATGTGATAGAACTCATCATCATCTCTCCTATGGAAATGTTGAGTTGAGTTCTATGCTGTTGTGTGTGAAGCTGTGCTCTTTCCCCCCCTCTAGTGAGTTTGGCAGCCAGCGATATGAAGTCAGCCATGTGCATAAAGTGGAATGTGTTGTCCCGTGGTTAAATGATGCCCTTGTGTTCTTCACAGTTTCACTGCAGCTTTGCCAGCAACTGAAGGACAAGGTAATGGCCTTGAAAAAGGGGCTTTGTTTTTAACTGTGGATTTTGAGAGGACCTCATATCTGAAGTGATGTTATTCTGTTCAGCTTGCTGAAAATAAGGGATGCGTCAGTGTTCTGGAGCCAGGGTGTTGGCTGGTACTGCCTAGCAAACACAGCCATAGGATAAGTATAGTGGTGTGGCAGATGTCTGTTGAGCTGGTGACTAGATGGAAAGGAGCAAGCAGACATTTCTGTGTTCTCAGTCAGAAGGTGGATGAGAGGAAACAAGCAACCTAGATTCCAGTAGATCAGTGCTCAGTTCCAGTTCTGCAACTGCCACCTTGAGCAAGTAACTTTCTACTCCTTCAGTGACAGCAGCAGCAAACCTGCCCTTCAGTAGTGTGCTCAAGTGTGTAATGCTGTGAAGCTAAGTCCTCCCTCACACATTATGTGCTCTTTTTTTTTGTGGTACAAGGGGTATAGAAACTTACCTGCTTTTGTTCTTGCTTTCCAGATCTCCGTTTTCTCCAGTTACTGGAACTACAGGCCATATTAATTCTCTGTGGGATGGTCTAAGCCTGTACAGTACTTCAGTGTCTCTCTCTGTTTTCTCATGCCAGCTGAGTCCAGGTCAGCCTGAGGAGTGCTGGAGTTCACTGCCAGATGCCCTGGACAGGGCAGGGTCAGTGTACCCAGAGACACAGCTTTAGTAGCTTAGTCTGGGATTGCTGCATAAGCAGGGCACCAAGTAGTGCTGGGTGGTTGGCAGGAGCTTCCATTGGTCCCTCTTGTGCATTGTGTGGCTCACATTTTCCAAGCCCCTTATGAGTTACACAGGTCTGTTAAAACAGATAGGTGCTCTGGACCACCCCCACCAACAAGATCTGTGCATTATGCTGTAACTAACTCCTTGAATGTGAAGTGGCTGGGAAGGGGGGAAACAGACTAACTTAACACACCTCTTAAAAGGTAGGGCATGTTGCTCCATGTAGTGAAGTAAGTTTCTCTTATCTGATCAAGCTGTGCTTATAATTAACCCTGAGTGGCTCCTTCCCCTGCCTATTCTGCCCATCCCCATGTTACCAATTCCTCTTTGGGGATGCTCTTGCTGCTGTTTGAATTCTTTTCCCCCTTATCCAGCATCAGTGTGATAATTATTTTTTCCTAAGCCCTAGGTGGGCCAACTGGTCTTTTCCAGGTTTAATATCTTGTTTTCACTGCCAGCCTTTGGAGTTGCCTTGGTGTACCTTGTGCAGTCTTTCATCTTGTCATTAAATGCAAAGTGAGTACCACATTGCTACTATGATTTGCTGCATATGGATGCTACAATGTGTAACTAATCCCTTTAGCCACTGCTAACTGTGAAATAAAGACCCTCATACCTGCAGTGCTCATGTGGGCTGTGAAAGAGTGAGTATCTGAGATTCTGTGCTCTCTCACAAGTGAGTGACTGTTCTTGGTTATGTTATCATGTTGGTTTGTCTTTTGCTTAACTGGGGAGGACAGTAGTGGAGGCACTACTAGCTGGGCAAGTCTTCAAAGGCTGAGCCTGTTTGCATAGCCTCAGCCCAGTGCTATCTGATACCTGAATACTACCTGAAGTATTTTTCCAAACATGGCATGTTTGGAAGAGGCTGTAGGCACTCAGACTGGGGTGGGTTGGCTCATATAGTCATTCAGAACATCTCTGGCAGAGTGGGAAGTCTCCAGGTCCCTGTTCAGGATCTTCTCAGGAAGCTGCCACCTACCCACATAACTGTTGCCCGTGGAAGTCTTTTGCAACCTTCTCTACACCTTTTTGTGAACAGTTGTTTGTAAATGCTCCCGGAGTTTGATTTGGTTCTGAATAGCCTCGTGAAACAGTGAAAGAGACAGCGGCTCTGACAGATGTATGATGGAGAGCATTGCTCATTTTATTACAAGACAAATCAATACAGAGTCTCAAGGCAGATTAAAATACAGTGACAAAATAAAGCTAAAAATAAAAAAGCCATCAAAAAACATAAAAAATGAGATAAAACCAAATTATGATAAAACATTTAGGAATATAAAACTCATTATTATGCAACATAGAGAATCGGCTTGTCAATGAGATATCACGTACTCAAAATAGGGTTGTTAAGAACCAAAGAAATAAAATGTTGTTGGAAGCAATTATAAGGAAATTTAGTGGACTTGAAAATGTACATGCATAATGAAATGTAATCAAATATGTAAAATTCTCTCAGCTGATGAAGAGAAGATTTCTTTTTCTTTTCTCATTTAAATCAGAAGCCTCTCCATTAGCAAACAGGGAAACAGAACAGTTGCTTCTTCACATTCCACAAATAAATGGCTCACACAATATCAAGTCTGCCACCTTTCTAACACAGTAGTTATCACAACGGATTTACTTACAGAGGACGGCCACAGCTCCAGACTCAGGCATGAGACATTCTTCTCTGTTCTTGGTTTCCATGATCACACTGAAGGAAAGTGGGTCCAGCTTGCGACAGACACTGTATGCTTTTCTGAAAGCCATTTTGCCTACATCACAGGCAGCTCTGTCCAACACAAGATGATGTTAGTGAAACCTCCCTGTGCTTCCAGACACCTCATGGCAAGTGGGTTTGACAAAAGTCCTTTCCTAGGGATTTTACATGTCTGACAAAAACAACAAAACACCCTACTCCCTCGTTCTACCTCATGAGACTTAGCTTATCTGTATTCCCAATCAAATACAGGGATTATCTAAAGATGACATAACAATGTTTCAAAACCAGAACTACCCAGAGAAACGCCTTTCAAAATGCAGATTTTTTTAAAAAAGCTTCTTGGAGACAAGTAGGATTTTACAAAATCCCAGACTGGTTTGTGTTGAAAGGGACCTTAAAATTCATCGCGTTCCACCCCCTGCCATGGGCTGGGACACCTTCCGCTATTCCATGTTACTCCAAGCCTTGTCCAGCCTGGCCTTGGACACTTCCAGGGGTCCAGGGGCAGCCACATCTTCTCTGGGCACTTGTACCAGGGCCTCATCACCTTCTCAGGGAACAGATCTAAATCTAATCCTACTCTCTTTTAGTTTAAAGCAGTTTATTTCCCAATAGCTTAATTAGTAGGATTTCTTCTTAGGGAAAAAAGAAAAGAAAGTTTTCCAGCTACCAGTAACATGGAAGAGTAGCAGCCACTTCAATCGTAAACTAGTGCCAAAAGCACAGAAGCAGCCTTCAATTTTTAGATCCATTATACTGATTCTTACCTTGTACAAAAGCGACAGTATATTTTAAACACTGAAGCCGTTAAGATATTTTAAAGGATCGTACAAAAATGTCAACCTATTTTTGGTTCCCCCCTCCCCCCTTTTTTAAAATGAAAGCAGCTGTCCTGTGGCTGCTGAAACATCTGAGCGTTGTACCGGTGACGCTGCCGGCCAGCCACACACGAGTGAGATCTTTAAAAAGCCCCACAAAACCCTCACACTGCAACAAACCATAAACAAGTGCGAGAGCAACCAAGTTTTTCGTGCTGAGGCTCGGGAACACGCAGCGAAGGAGGACTGCTCCGGAGCGGGGCTTTCCGTGCTCCTTTCCCGGCAGCTCCCCCAGCTCCGGTGCAGAGCCGGCACTGCCCGCCCCCTCCGCGCCCGGGCGGGCTCAAAGTACGGCCAAGCCGCGAGGCCGCCGCCGCCGCCACATTCCTGTACAGCGCAGCGGGACCCGCCCGGCAGCGCCCGCCCTGCCCCGAGCCCGTCCGAGCCGCCCGGGCTCCGGCCTGACCCCGCGGGACTGCCGCGCTCACCGTCCGCCGCCGCGGAGCCCGCGGCAGCCGCCGGGATCCACCTCCTCCCGGCCCCGCATCCTTCCGCACTGCCCTGCCCGCCCCGGAAGGGAAGGCAAGGAGGGGGCGGGTGCTGGAGCCGCGGCGAGACGGAGTTGTGCTTTAAACGAACCGAGCCGTGTGTTGAACACAGCCAGCCCCAAGCCCCGCTGCGGGATTATTACGAGGGGCAAAACCCAAGGGACAGGCTCGAGAACAGACGTGTGGACCGAGCCACCTCTGAGTCACCGCGCTGGGCGAAGGGCTGCGATACTCACAGAGCCTCGGGTCGACTGGGAGCCGGCTAAAGCCGGCGTCTTCCCCACAGCAGCCGCGGAATAGAATCGTGCAATATTCTGAGCTGGAAGTGACCCACAAGGATCATCGGGTCCGACTCTTGGTCCTCCACGAATACCCCAATAATCCCGCCCCATGCATCCCTGGCAGCGCTTTCCAAACACTCCTGGAACTCTGGCAGCCTCGGGGCCGTGTTCATTCCCTGGGGAGCCTGGGCAGTGCCCAGCACCCTCTGGGGAAGAACTTTTCCCTGATATCCGACCTAAACCGCCCCTGGCACAGCTCCAGCCATTCCCTTGGGTCCTATCACTGGTCACAGAGAGCAGAGATCAGAGCTGCCCCTCGAGAGGAAGCTGCAGACACCTCAAGAGTTCTCAGCTCAATCTCTTCTCCAGCTGAACAAGCCCAGTACCCTCAGCCGCTCGTGTGGCTCAACGCGGTCTTTGCCTCCGGAACTCCGTGCTCTTCACTGACTCCACAGCTGCCCGAGCCAAGCGGATTTTCCCCGTCCCTGGCGCAGGTACCGCTGGTACAGCAGGAGCAGGGCGGCCGAAGGAGAACGACCCCCGCGTTCTGCGCTGCGGGGCGCGCTCAGGAACCGCAGCCCCCGGAGCCGCGCCTGTCCCGGGCCCCGCCCCTGCGGTACCACCCGCAGCTCCCGCTCCATCATCCCCACAGCTGTTAAGAGTATTAATTGACAAGAAATTCCTATTTTCCATTATTTTCCTGTTTAAATGGAAGGGGGAAACCTTGACGATGCTTTTTAATGGGTTTTAATTAAAGATAACTCCCTCCTTTTCCTCACTCTAAGGCTTAAATTGGGAAGGAAGCCCAGTTGTCCCACCTTCTTAAGGGTTTGAACAGAGGGAAAAATCCCCACTTTTCCATCACTGGAGAGATTTAAAGTGAGGAAAACCCCTATTTTCCCAATATTTTAGGGGATTGAATTATAGGTGAGAAGGCATTTATTTACCATTATATCGGTTTAAGTGGAAGTATCTGTCCCATTTCCTCATTCTAAGGTGTTCAGTTGAAGGAAGCTCTGTCTTTTTCAGCGTTTTAAGACTTTAAAATTGCATTTTGGGGTACTTCTACCTGTGCCCCAGTACCTCAGACAGGAGCACACATATATAACCCCACCACCACCCAGGAACATATTCTTTTTCTTATTTATTTATGATGTAGAGAGCCCAAGTTAGAGGTCCTAATGAGACTTAAATCATTCTTCTCCACTGTGCTTAGACACATGTGGAGTACTACATAGTAGTCACAAAGGAATAATTACATAAGTCAACAATAAGTTATCCAATTTATCTAGCTATGCTGCTGTGTTGGTTTGAAAGTAAAACCAGTGCGAGACTCCAAGTCAGTAATACAATTTAATAGGAGAAAAGAGAAAAAATAAAATACATGCAATAATATAAAAGAAACAACCACCAACACAGTCAGAAATACAACCTGACACCCTGTCAGTCAGGGTGTTGGTAGCAGTCCCTATAAATAGTGGCTGCAGTCCTCCTAGATGACGGATGTGGTTCTGTTGAAGCAGTGCTCCTGTAGAAGGTGCAGTTTTCCTCCGAAGATCCAGCAATGATGTGGAAAAGGTCCGACTTTCCTCTGGGATCCAGTAGAAAGGTCTGCCCTCGGGTCCCAAACCCCAGTTTTTTATCTAGGTAGGAAAGGCTTGGCTCCTGCCCCTGGTTGGGGCATCTCCAATGGGATGATGTAATCTTATCAGTCACACAATAGGACTTAATGGCCCATTAACAGAATATATCTTCTGGAGGAAGGATGGGTTGTGAAAAGATAACGATGATCATCCCTCGATCTTATCAGATGGCACATCAGGAGAGGATATCTCCCACAGAGATAAGGATCACCATCCCTCCTGCATTTTAACAGATGGTGATAGAATACACATTTTTGCATTGTACCCCAGCTGCTGAAATACAAAGTCTTATTTCTTACCAGCTTTCTACTCTGTTGCTCAAAATAGTTGTAGCACAAAATAAAGTGTTGTCATTTCCCTGAAGAGTTTTCTTCTGGAGCTTTTTACTCACCTCGAATTTGAGTCAAGAGTAGCCAAACAGCTGCAGCTCCTCTGAGGGCTTTTATACGTCATGGGATTTGCCTCCTCCCTTTTCCCAAGCACCTGGGAATGAGAGGTCGGCCCGAACAGGGGTATATTAACCCCAGCCTTTGCTGAGGGGCTTAATTCCTTGTCTGGCATCAACTGGGGTAAAAGCTTGCTTCTCATTTCAGTAGCGAGTATATTCATCTTGTCTCATCTTGTTTTTAAGCAGGGTACTTTTGGGCATCTAAAGCAACAGAAGCTTTGAAAACAGCATGAATAAAATAGCGTTGAACACAGGGGGTATTTAAGTTCACGATTTTAAGTTGTGTGCTAAGGTGCTTTTGTAATTTCTGGTTTTGTTCTTGTTTTTTTTTCTTAGGAGGAGTACAGCTTCCTGAAATTCCAGGTTGTGTTGAATATGATCTTTCAGACCTAATGAGTTGCAGTGAGTTGGCAATGCTGGAAGAAGGAGTGAGGGTCCTCTCAAGTTTTATCAATGTTATCAATGCCTTGTCTCCTCGTAACCCAGGTGTATCCTGTGATGATGGCATTGGCCTCTGAGCGTGAGTCCCAGCTACAGGCCCCTGGATATGAACAGAGAGTCTTTTCCATGAGAAACAAATCTCGCCATCCCAGTTTCCTGATGTCAATTTAGAGGAGGCCTTTGGCAAAGCAAAGGCAGCCACGGTCCTAGGAGCTGATAGCTTTGGTCTGGGACAAATCCTGTGCCGTATGGAATTTTACCAGGTAAAAACCTACTCTCTACCATAGGCCCTTGGATACAAATGGTGGCTCTTTTCTACAGGAAACAAAAATCAACATCCTAGGTTCCAGATGTTAGTTAGTAGGAGGCATTTGGTGCACCAAAAGCAGCCATGGTTCTAGGAGGTGGCACCTTTGGTCTGGGAGAAATCCTGAGCCATATGGAATTTCAGCAGGCAGAAGCCCAGTCCCAGCTACAGCATGTGGTGATCTTTCTCATCAGAGCCCCCATGTCAGACTGCCCTGCTCTAGCAGCACAGACCTCGCACTGTGGGACCCTGAATACATCCCTGGGGTACTGGAGACTGGCTCAGCTGCATCTGGGGAGCAGGGATGTGGCATGGCAGAACATAGCATAGAGTGCTATTATCTTGGCTGTCTTGCAAGCAGTGTAAGAAAGAAACTGGCTGAACTCCAGATAAAATATATTTTTTTCCTATTTCTGCGCCTTTATCTGCACACCAGAACAATGGCATTTCTTACCCGAAAGGCAAAAAAAGGCATTAGTGTAGCCTCAGGAATGGCAACTGCCTAGGCATTGAGAGGAATGTTGAATTTGTCTTTACAAATGAGCTGTGGATCTGCTTGTAGATAAGGCTAGCACTGAGAGATAAAAGAAACAATGGGATGGATTCCACTGATTGATGAATAGAAAAAGATACATGCTTTTACAAACAAACTGTAGGGCTGCTGAAAAATTAAACTGGATACTAAAAGATGAAAGAAGCAACGGGGAAAATTATGAATTCTATAAGAATTAAAAATTAAAAGGGAGGGTTATAGATTAGAGGGGAATTTCAGGTGTCAGGCCTTCCAGGAAGTCTGTGCCACTCAAGTATCTCAGCCAATGGGGAAAGGGAGAGGGAAATGCGGCCGGGAAAACAGGATAAAAAGGAGGATGTGTCCTCCAAAAATGTGAGCGATCCCAGGGGAATGTCCCATGGCCTCTCCCTTTATTCGAATAAAGCAAAAAGGACATCTGTCTCCTTTTTGGACACAAATCTCTGGTGTTTGTGGATTAATTTTCCTGACAACTTCAGGGGCTTGTCCAGGATGTTTCTACCGTCCGGGGAGGCAGGCAGCGAGTGGAGCTGAAGGCGCCTCACCCAGTTTGGGTGATCAGCTCCCCTTGCTGCTGGCCAGTACCGGGCGATTGATTGGGTTCCCGAGACTGTCCAGAAGAGAGACCAGTGGCAGACCAGGGGGGTCCATGAGGAGTCCGCAGGGAAGGACCACTGAAAATCTCACAGGAATAACAGGGAAAATGAAACTAAGGAAGGAAATCAATCTCAGCTAATCATTTCAGAAGCTAACAAGTTGTCATTGCAATGATGCATAAAGTGAGAAA